TGTAACTAGTAGTGATAATTGTTTTTTTTTTTTTTTTTTTTTAAAAAATGGCAAAAATTTACTTATAAAGTGAAGTAACTTTACACAATAAATTGTATAAATGATCACATTAATCATCCAGTCTAGTGCAGATGGAATAAGAAAACAGGAATTTGCTTTTAACAATTGGTTATTTGAAGTGAATTAGTAGTAGGTAGTAAACTGTCATTTTTATTACTTTTTACCTACAAGTAAGCTTCTAATAAAGCTTACCTGTAGGTAAAATTAATATCTCCTAAATGTGCACCAGCGCATGCGCTCTGTAAGAATGGCATACCTGTGCCGTTCCTTTAGAGCTGTGTGCTGTGGCCGAGACTGCTGCGCGTGCAGGAGTGATATCATCGCGTCTTGGCCAATCAAGACCAGGTGAAGATGGGAGCTACTGCAGTGGTGACAGCGCGCCGCTGGGGGGCTTAGTTTTAAAGGTAAGTCTTTCATAATGTACTAGTATGCGATGCATACTAGCACAATATTCCTTTGCCTTGCAGGGGAAAACTTTTTTGTTTTGGGTTTTTTTTTTTGTTTTGTTTTTTACAGTTTACTGCCGCTTTAAGGTTCATCTAAAGCAGGGGTCCTCAAATATTTTAAACGGGGCCAGTTCACTGTCCCTCAGACCGTTGGAGGGCGGGACTGTAGTTTAAAAAAAAAAAAAAAAAAAAACTATGAACAAATGCGGACACAGTACAGGAGATGACCAGAGACTGCGGACACAGTACAGGAGATGACCAGAGACTGCGGACACAGTACAGGAGATGACCAGAGACTGCGGACACAGTACATGAGATGACCAGAGACTGCGGACACAGTACAGGAGATGACCAGAGACTGCGGACACAGTACAGGAGATGACCAGAGACTGCGGACACAGTACAGGAGATGACCAGAGACTGCGGACACAGTACAGGGGATGACCAGAGACTGCGGACACAGTACAGGGGATGACCAGAGACTGCGGAGTACAGGGGATGACCAGAGACTGCACAGTACAGGGGATGACCAGAGACTGCGAGCACAGTACAGGGGATGACCAGAGACTGCGAGCACAGTACAGGGGATGACCAGAGACTGCGAGCACAGTACAGGGGATGACCAGAGACTGCGAGCACAGTACAGGGGATGACCAGAGACTGCGAGCACAGTACAGGGATGACCAGAGACTGCGAGCACAGTACAGGAGATGACCAGAGACTGCGAGCACACTACAGGAGATGACCAGAGACTGCGGACACACTACAGGAGATGACCAGAGACTGCGGACACACTACAGGAGATGACCAGAGACTGCGGACACACTACAGGAGATGACCAGAGACTGCGACACACTACAGGAGATGACCAGAGACTGCGAGCACACGACAGGAGATGACCAGAGACTGCGGACACACTACAGGAGATGACCAGAGACTGCGGACACACTACAGGAGATGACCAGAGACTGCGGACACACTACAGGAGATGACCAGAGACTGCGGACACACTACAGGGAGATGACCAGAGACTGCGGACACACTACAGGAGATGACCAGAGACTGCGGACACACTACAGGAGATGACCAGAGACTGCGGACACACTACAGGAGATGACCAGAGACTGCGGACACACTACAGGAGATGACCAGAGACTGCGGACACACTACAGGAGATGACCAGAGACTGCGGACACACTACAGGAGATGACCAGAGACTGCGGACACACTACAGGAGATGACCAGAGACTGCGGACACACTACAGGAGATGACCAGAGACTGCGGACACACTACAGGAGATGACCAGAGACTGCGGACACACTACAGGAGATGACCAGAGACTGCGGACACACTACAGGAGATGACCAGAGACTGCGGACACACACACTACAGGAGATGACCAGAGACTGCTGCGACACACTACAGGAGATGACCAGAGACTGCGGACACACAGGAGATGACAGGAGACTGCGGACACACTACAGGAGATGACCAGAGACTGCGGACACACTACAGGAGATGACCAGAGACTGCGGACACACTACAGGAGATGACCAGAGACTGCGGACACACTACAGGAGATGACCAGAGACTGCGGACACACTACAGGAGATGACCAGAGACTGCGGACACACTACAGGAGATGACCAGAGACTGCGGACACACTACAGGAGATGACCAGAGACTGCGGACACACAACGGGGCAGGAGATGACCATAGACTGGGCCGGCCATAAGGAGCACAGAGACTGCGGACCCAGTCAGATGACCAGAGACTGCGGACATACAGGAGCAAAATAGTGCCCATCATTGGTGTCAGTGGGGAAGAATAGTGCCCCGTCGTTGGTTTCAGTGGGAGGAATAGTGCCCCGTCGTTGGTGTCAGGGAGGAATAGTGCCCCGTCGTTGGTGTCAGTGGAGGGAGGAATAGTGCCCCGTCGTTGGTGTCAGTGGAGGGAGGAATAGTGCCCCGTCGTTGGTGTCAGTGGAGGGGAGGAATAGTGCCCCGTCGTTGGGTGTCAGTGGGGGGGAGATGGAATAGTGCCCCGTCGTTGGTGTCAGTGGGGGGAGGAATAGTGCCCCGTCGTTGGTGTCAGTGGGGGGAGGAATAGTGCCCCGTCGTTGGTGTCAGTGGGGGGAGGAATAGTGCCCCGTCGTTGGTGTCAGTGGGGGGAGGAATAGTGCCCCGTCGTTGGTGTCAGTGGGGGGAGGAATAGTGCCCCGTCGTTGGTGTCAGTGGGGGGAGGAATAGTGCCCCGTCGTTGGTGTCAGTGGGGGGAGGAATAGTGCCCCGTCGTTGGTGTCAGTGGGGGGAGGAATAGTGCCCCGTCGTTGGTGTCAGTGGGGGGAGGAATAGTGCCCCGTCGTTGGTGTCAGTGGGGGGAGGAATAGTGCCCCGTCGTTGGTGTCAGTAGGGGGAGGAATAGTGCCCCGTCGTTGGGTGTCAGTGGGGGGAGGAATAGTGCCCCGTCGTTGGTGTCAGTGTTTGGGGGGGGGGGGGGGGGATAGTGCCCCGTCATTGGTGTCAGTGGGAGGAATAGTACCCCGTCGTTGGTGTCAGTGGGGGGAAGGAATAGTGTTCCATCGTTGGTGTCAGTGGTGGGGATGAATAGTGCCCCATCGTTGGTGTCAGTGGGGGGTAGGATTCGTGCCCCATCGTTGGTTTTAGTGGGAGGAATAGTGCCCCATCATTATTATCAGTGACACCAATGATGGGGCACTATTCCTCCCACTGACACCAATGACACTTAACTTGCTGACCCCTGCTCCAGCATGGTGCTGCTGCAGCCAGCATGCCTGGTTGCAGCAGCGCCATCAGCACGGCACACTTACCTGTCAGCTGTCCTTCTTCACTCCGGCCTCTCCCTTGATGTTCGCGGGGCCTCTCGGCTCCGCCTCCTCGCAGGTGATTGGCCGCCTGTGTGCCTTTCCTGAGTTCTGGCGCCCAATCACCGGTGATGAGGCAGAGCCGAGCGGCAGGAGTGAGGGAGTGGCCGGAGTGAATGAAGGAGCAGAGCTTCCTGGACTGGATCGGATCGTCGTGGGACTGGGACACGGAGCCAAGTAAGGTACAGCAGCCCCCTGCCCGCACTTGTACTTATTGTCCCTTCCTCGCGGAAAATACACCCCTGCCGGCGGGCCGGATAAATGGCCTCAGCGGGCCGTAGTTTGAGGACCCCTGATCTAAAGGCTTCCATATGACAGCCTGAACAAGCTCCAAATCCAGCCTCATAAAGTAAGCAAAAAATTCTTTACCTCCCCTGACTGAGCCGACTCCTCCTTCATTTGTGTCTCACACACTCTCCCTCGCAGACATTGTAGCTCACGGTGGGAGGGTTTCAGCAACAAAAGCATTGTTGTCAATCTAGAAAGCAGTGGGCAGGACTAGGTTTGACTGACAATGTTGATAGCCACATCTCATCCCTCTGTAGTAGAAACAGGAACAGCATACATGAGTGACAACTCTGCTCTGAATTTAGGAGCAGTGCAGCATTGTTGCCACGTCATCACAGGAAGCTGCATTAGGTGGACTTCGCTGGCAGGATCAACAGGTATTTGTGGCGCTTTACAAGGGAACCAAGATAAAACTGTTAACTGAAGCACTTACTGATTACTTAGGTGCTGCACTGTATTTTGTTTTTAAATGAGAGGCCATAGTTCAGTTTTAAACAAGGGGTAGGCCGATGTATAATGTTACACACATTATTGGAGAAGCAAAGTTAGGACCTTCTTCCTCTTATTTCAAAATGACTTCCCAATGGCTTGAACAGCTGCAGCTATGGAGAGACACTGCACTGACAGTATAGCTTTAATATGATCTTTCTTGGAGCAGTACTCAATCAGTGTGCTGATCAGGAATATTTTTTTTTTATCATATTAGAGCTTCAGAACATATCTTGCTGCCAGATACAGCCAGCCATGCTGGGCAAAGTCAACTAGTTGTAAGCCTGATGTGTTAGGCCTCGATCACAGAGGTGTACATAAGCATACACCCATGCAAGAGCCAAGTTTGCCCGCACAGGGATGCAACGGTGTTCCATGTATCCCCTTGCAGGCAGTCCCAAGCGCACACTGTCTGTGTTCAGGGACCCACACCAACATGGCTGTCAAATTGGGAGTAGCAGCTGTGTCTGTGCAGCTACTGCATCTCAACTGGCATGAATGGGACTGCCTGCACAAGGATGTACAGCACTCCTATGCATCCACATGGAGTGAAACATGGCCTTTGCATGGGCGTATACTTAAGTACGCCTGTTTTGAATACGCTTTAAAGTGATTCTAAAAGTTTAAAATCTAAAAAAATAACAAACATGTCATACTTTCCCGCTTTGTGCAATGGTTTTGCACAGAGCAACCCTGATCCTCCTTTTCTCGGATCCTCTTCCTCTTGTATTTCAAAACTTAATATATCCCAAATGTAACATTTCAATTTCTTTCAACAACCCTTTTTAGCTTTTGAATTCTTTTCAAACAGTCATTTGTGTCCACTAAGCACATGGGCATTCTCTTGCAGCTCGTGTCCGCAGACAACTCCCTAGCAGAAGCTACAGCATCATCTATCCTAGTAAACCACTTACAGCAACAAATATCTATCCTTCATAATGACATTGATCGCATTCAAACCAATGAGCAGGCACTTTCCAAAAGGATGCAGAATGTCAACATTAAGTTCCAAAATGTCACAGATACATGGAAGAGAAACCTGGATGAAATGAACCTGGAGACTAACTCGGTAAAGTCTGACACCAAGTCTTTCCATCAGCAGATGACTTCAAAGATTAACTCGGCTGACCAAACCCTAAAAGTGCTTTCTGAGAAGCTTAAAGAGTTTGAAGAGAGTACACCAAGGAATTTTAGAACTGTAAAAAGACAAGAGGATGAAGATCTTCAACGTATCACTGATGTTTTGGACTACGATGCCAAGGCTATTGAGGATCTGATAAAACATCAGAATGAGTTGGACAACATGAACCAAGAAGTTCAGAAAAACATAGTCCAGTTTGAGCCAAAACTGGTAGAGTGCATTGACAGTTTGCCAGTTATTGACAACGCTGTGCGGACTCTACTCAAGGTTTCCAACGAGATGCTTGACTTTGACAAAAGGATTAACGAGTTGACCGTACAGGTGTTTAATACCGAGGATACTTTGTTGAAAATAATCTCAGAGACTTTAGAGATCCAGCATGTTCTAGAGAGTATGCAGTATGACAACAGTATCCTAAAACTGCAAAATGAAATCTCAGTCTTGAAAGAGAGGACAGAAACTTTATCTTCAACGAATAAAGAGTCCGTGCCGGAGAAACAATCAAGTGACTGAATCTTTTGTGACACAGCTTCTACATGGCCACTTTTGGACGCATACCTGTTTTATGGGAAAAGTATGTAAATTAGTGGTTTACAATTGCTTAGTCTTGGTACACAGGGTAAGCGGGGAGTTTGTTTACTAAGGATCGCTTTTAATAATACCCCCCCCCCCCCCCCACAACCCAAACTTTTCAGGGACACCCAATTTTCATATGTTGAGACTATTTACAATTTTCTTTGCCTAATTTTCCAGTTTAAATTACAGAAAGGCATATGCAGCTATGATAAAAATTAATTTAATTGACAGCCATATTCCTAGACATCAGGCATTTTAATTTGTTGTTTTTTTATTTTATTTTTCCCACTAGTTACTTTATCCTTTGTACCCTGGGCAATGGCCTTTCCTGACCATCCTTCATGATACATCTGTCCTGGAGATGTTATTTTAGGGAAAAAAACTAAATATTTCAGATATAAGTTTCAAATTAAATACAAGGAAAAGTATTGTTTTGTATTGTTTTTAAGGTCTTGTTTACACCTGTGGTCAGAGAGGTGATAAAAATAGACAGTCGAGCTGTGGTTTTTACTTACACCCCCTACCCCCAAGATGCAAAGGCAGCCAGATAGGTTGTGCATATGGCATGGACGTGATGCTTTGCTTCGCGGCTGTAGCAAAAATTTGATCATTCTCACGTTCAGTGGTTAGTACCACCACCAAACACAACCCATTCAGGTAAATGGGGCTGTGCTGTAACTGCCCACAACTGCCTGCAATGCACACGCCTGCGGTGCAGTGGTGTGGTCTTCTCAGGGTGAGGACAGGCCGCAAGGAAGTGACAATTATGCATCCCAACTGCCTGTCAAACATCCTCTGAAAGTGATCTAACAGAGATCTATCTTCAGAGGGCAACGCAGGTGTAAACGAGCCTTCATTTTGCACATGTATCAATGTCATAATTACAGAGTGCACATACTTTTAGTACCTATTACCAAAGTACAATATACATTATTAATATGCTTTTAATGACACACCTGTCCACTGAGGGCATATTAAGTGATTATTCTAGTTGCTTATAGATTATAGCAGTCACTGCATTGTAGAGACTTAATTTTCACTGTTCCATTGGAATCTTTGGGGGGGGGGGGGGGGTTTCATCTTATTGCAGGGTGCTGGAAAAGACATCTTGCCTTTTATAGAGAAGAACTCGAGACTCCAGGGCTATCAGCTCCAAGTACTTCCAGGCAACATGTGTCTGCTTGGAGTTTTTATGTTTTTTCCATGTTTTTGAAGGTTCCTTCTACGCAATCCATATTCCCCTTTTGAAGCCTGAAAAAGAAACGAACTGTAGAATATTTACACAAAAAAAAGGCAAGCAGGAGTCAAAGGACTAGTCCTCGGTATATTTTGTGGTCTTCCTGCAACTGATCCGTTCCTCATTACTGATCATCCAACATGATTTTGCATTATATCTCTGTGTGCAGGTGGATAGAGGCAGGCACTACTGGGACAGGCAGGTTCAGTGCCCATGGCAAGATTAGGGAACTGTGCTCCCCATCTTCCATTCCTAATGCATACCATAGAATGGGTGTGCCACCCTCTGCCCATTCTCTGCCCCTTGCTTCAGCTGGCATGGAGTGTGCACTGCACATGCATAGCCAATTGCTTCCTTTCTAGAAGGTAGTTGCATATGTGCTGTGTGTTTTTTCATGATGGGGGGAGAGTGGGCATGTTAGAGCACAGTGTGACAGCAGTAAGTGTCAAAGCAGCCTGATAGTTGCAAGCCACTGATCTGGAGGTTGTGTGCCGTGAAGGGGGTGCCCTGGGCAGCTGCCCTTTCTTCCCAGCCCTAGAGGCAGGGCTATGCTTTTTCGTATCAGAGCTGCCAGCTAATGACTCCCCATCTGATGACTGGTAAGGTAATGATCAGGAGTCTGCAAGGAAGATGGAAAAAGCACTGGTCTGTAGAATGGATAAAGCAGAATCATGAAGATACTTTCACTGTAGGTCCTCAGCTACAGCTTCCTCTCCAGCAAGGAAAACAGCAGCAACGTATTGACATCACAAGATCTCACTCCAAATATTTCGAGATTAGCAATCAGTGGCAGCAGTGCCTTAGAGCAGTGGTCTTTTCTTTCCGTTATCCGGCTCTTGAGGCATTATTCCTGCCATTGACACCAACTACGGGTCATAATTCCTGCCACTGACACCAACAATGGGGCATTATTCCTTCCACTGCCACTAATGATGGGGTATAATTTCTTCCAAAGACAACAAACACAGGGCACTATTCTTCCCACTGACACCAACTATTTCAACCACCAATACCAAAGATTTGGCATTGTTTACTCCCACTGGACACAGTCTGCCACTCCCTAAAGACTGAAGGACAGTAAACTGTCCCTTTCTCTAAAATGTTTGGAGATCCCTGCCTTAGAGGATCTCACATTGCAGGTATACAGCTATAAGAGGCACAAAAGTGTCTAGTAACAGCAAGTGCTATGTGATTTTCCAAGAGCAATTTAAAAAAAAATGGCTAAATTATTTGAGGTACTGCCTAGACACAATTATAATTTCTAGATGTTCATGTTAACATCGTAAATGTTTCCTTTTTTATGTTCAAGTCCCCATAAAAGGGTTTTCGTCTTTTGATTAATTGTGGCCCTAGTTTGCTTGACTGACTTAAGGATTATTATGTTAAAAATACGTGATGGGCGGACATTGATGTGAACATTTCAGTTTCTGATTCTGTTGATAAGAAGTTAATTTTGCTTACTTACTGGCACGTTAAATCATAATCTCTGTTTATGTGTCAGGGATGGCACTGATGAGAGATTCCCACTTAAGCCACACCCTTAATAACTCAAAATGGTAATGTCACAGTCGCCATACAAAGAGAAAGCAATGACCAAATGAAAGCTACTATGGACCTAGCTAATACCTGAAATGTATGCCCAATATTTATCAAAAACCAAATAAAAAAAAAAAATATATAAGGTTTTATGAAAGAACTGTGTTCCAGTCCAAAATCCTAATTTTAGCCCAGGTCTTAAAATGTATCCGATATAGAAATCCTATTGTCTCAGTCACACAATAGATTTTTCCATACTGTGGAATAACAATTTTTGTTGTCCTTTCCACATTGGATTGGTCTGGTCTTGAAAATTAAAATTTTTAAGGGTAATGGTAAAAGTGATATACCCCTCCCACTCTGTGTTTTATTTTCACAGCTGAAATATTGAGACCACTCTATAGATTAAAGTCGTGAAAAAATTGAGTGCTAAACCAATGATATTCCAGCTGCAGTTTTTCCAGTGCTGGCTAAAAAGATGAAACATCACTGCATAGTGTATTAGAATTTACTCACACAAATGTTATTGTATTCACATGCCTAGACAAGTAGCTGAACATTTTATGCAAAAGGTAAAACAATTTTATGTTTTCAATAAATTACATTTATTTGTGTATATGCTGTGTTCTTCATACTGATAGGGAATTTTTTTTTTTTTATCAGTCAATATCGGTACATTTTTTTTTTTTTTTTTATTTACAGTTCCTTTTAATCACTGCATCATACCACTACAGTTCGTGTCAGGCTAACTGGGTATCGCCATGATCACGTTTTTTAATTTATGGTTACCAAGCCCCCTTATAGTGAACTTTGGTTCTCAAATTATTTTCCAAACCCTGTGGAGTGCAGCCTATATAAAAATATGAACATGATGATACATATTATTATACAGTATTTATATAGCACCAAAATGTTAGCTCAGCGCTGTACATTATAGATATGACAACTCTCAACGCATTTCAATTCTTGACACAAATCTTCATCATGGAGACATGTCACAGTGGTTATATGTACAATGTAAATATATCAGCCATATACCGTATTTTTCGCTCCATAAGACGCACCTGACCATAAGACGCACCTAGGTTTTAGAGGCGAAAAACAAGAAAAAAAAAATATTCTGAACCAATGGACTGCGGACACAGTGCAGGGGATGACCAGAGACTGCGGACACAGTGCAGGGGATGACCAGAGACTGCGGACACAGTGCAGGGGATGACCAGAGACTGCGGACACAGTGCAGGGGATGACCAGAGACTGCGGACACAGTGCAGGGGATGACCAGAGACTGCGGACACAGTGCAGGGGATGACCAGAGACTGCGGACACAGTGCAGGGGATGACCAGAGACTGCAGATATAGTACAGTACCAGAGACAGGAGATGACCAGAGACTGCGGACAGTACAGGAGATGACCAGAGACTGCGGACAGTGCAGGGAATGACCAGAGACTGCGGACAGTGCAGGGGGGATGACCAGAGACTGCGGACAGTGCAGGGAATGACCAGAGACTGCGGACAGTGCAGGGAATGACTGCGGACAGAGACCAGAGACTGCGGACAGTGCAGGGAATGACCAGAGACTGCGGACAGCGGACAGTGCAGGGAATGACCAGAGACTGCGGACAGTGCAGGGAATGACCAGAGACTGCGGACAGTGCAGGGGATACCAGAGACTGCAGACAGTGCAGGGGATACCAGAGACTGCAGACAGTGCAGGGGATGACCAGAGACTGCTGACCTTTGGGGAGGGAGTCCTCTCTTCTTCCCAGGCCCAGGCTTCTGTGACAGCCGGGTGCCCACTGCGCATGCACGAGAAGCGCTGCGCTTTGTGAATGGCCCGGCGCATTCTGGGACCTGTCATGTGTCCCAGAAGACACCGGATCATTCACAAAGCGCAGCACATGTGCAGTGGGCACCCGGCTGTCACAGAAGCCAGCGCGGGAAGACTGTGCAGCGCTGGAGCGAGGAACAGGTAAGGCCCTGCAGGAGAGAACAGCTGAGCGGCCGGCCCGGTATTCTGACATGGTGGCTGCAGAAATACCGGACCGGCCGCTTTATATTCGCTCCATAAGACGCACTGACATTTCCCCCCCTTTTTTGGGGGGAAAAAAGTGCGTCTTATGGAGCAAAAACTACGGTATTCGTAGGAATGTATAAGACTG